CATAATGGGATACAAGATAATTTGTGGAGAGTCGTGGTTTAATGTTGATCATATCCTCTTTCCAATTCATATTGATTTGAACGGTGTTGGCCACTGGGTACTGGGACGATTATCCATTGGTGAGAGGAGGCTCGTTGTATACAATTCTTTGCGATCAGAAGAGTTTGACAAGATTGTCTACGACGGTGTTCGGTGCTATTCTACTCTCATTCCTATTTTCCTCGGTATGGTTCATTTCTACTCCAAAAGGACCGACATCAACAGTGTGGGAGAAGCATTCGATGGAAAAGGGGTGAATGATCCACTTGATGTTATTATGGCTGAAAATCTTCCCGAGCAGGAGCAAGGGTAAAGTCTATTAATTTTTGTATCATCCTTTACGTAGTTATCCACGTAAATTTTAACGTGGATAAAAACATGCTTTATACATTTTTTTTTTATTATCAGTGACTGCGGAATATTTGTTGCCTCATTTGCCGAATACTTCATCACTAAGTTTGATCTCCCGACCAACTATCTTCCCGACACGGAGAGGATGAGGTACGCATACGAGCTATACCAACATGGTCGTATGAAGCAAAAATATTCGTGTGAGAGCGATGATGAATCCCCTGGGACGCTTGATGATATACAACGTGCAAAGCTCGCATCAGTTAGTTAGAATATGCCTACCTTTTGAAGGAGTACTGTTTGTCTTGTGTATGGAGAGTTGAACCATGTTGATACTATTTGGCATTATGTTTTGTTGCAATTTTTCTTTTTTTTTTTTTTTACTTTTTTCTGGTGAACTTCAGTGAATGTATATTGGTGCTATTGATTTAGATATTTGATTTTGCACGATCTTAACCTATCCGGTCATTTTTTTGCAGACATATACACGCATACTTTAGGTAATGTGTTTACCTAACGTATATTATAAATAAATTTAGTAATGTGTTTACCTAACGTATTTTATGCCGTGTTGTAATGATAAAATAGGGACATAAGCACACATATTGTTTATCTAACGTATATTATGCCGTGTTTTATATTACATACTTTAAGTAATGTGTTTATCTAACGTATATTATCCCGTGTTGTCAACATAACATATAGACATAAGCACACATACGTGTTTAAGTCATGTATATTACATACTTTAAGTACTCTGTTTATCTAACGTATACATAAGCACACATTTTGTTTATCTAACGTATATTATGCCGTGTTGTATATTACATACTTTAAGTAATGTGTTTATCTAACGTATATTATCTCGTGTTGTAAACATAACATAAATACATAAGCACACATACGTGTTTAACTAATGTATATCACATACTTTAAGTACTCTGTTTATCTAACGTATATTATACTGTGTTGTCAACTCGAGTACATGATTGTCACTTATTTAATTTTTATTTATACTAATAAGACACATAAATGTACCAAATAACCATATTCTTATATGTACAACTTATGTAGGTTTGAATTTCACCATCATTTTTTTTTTTTATAAAATACTCCAGTACAAATGTACCAAAAGTAAGGAATAACGAAACAACCATAACAGAAATGTCAGTAATATTATGAAAAACGTAGACATTAAGTAAACACATCAAACTAATTTTGTTTAACGCTCTTCGGATTTTAACATGTCTTTACATTATGCCCTTTCCCACCACATTTGCTGCACCTATTTTTTACCCGAGACTCCCATCCTGGCTTGAGTCTTTGCTGTCGCCGACGTCCTGGCCTCACTCTTCCAGTAGGTGGATTGATATTTCCAATGACATCAGAATCAACCGCACTGCATTTTTGGCTTGTCTCAATAGGGAAAACTGGTTCTGCATATGTAGCTAGGATAGTATCCGTTAAGTAATGTATTGAACAAAATGGAACTGGATCCAAATGAAGGGCTCTAATCACTCGGATGGCATGTGAACAAGGCAATTCATCCATCTGGAAACGATTGCATGTGCAAGACTTCGTCTCCAAATTTACTACATACCCACTTCTGTCGGATGACACCTTAAACACCTTGTCGCTTGCCTTTTGTATCTAAAAGAAAAAAAATATAAAAACAGTTTCGAATGATACATCGTGTAATAAATGGTATATATACATATTTATATGTAAATTTATGTATATTAAAAAACAACATATTGTTATATAATTTAATGTATCTCACCGAAAAGCTGGCAGCTACTTTATAATTGTTTTCGAGCGTCTTGTGAGCCTTCTTTGCTAACGTTGTAAACGTCGACGCTGCTTCATCTCTATTAGCCACATTCCACTTTTGTTGTAAAGATCTCAATGACTCCAAAAGTGTTGTTATTGGTAAGTCACGGATCTCTCGCGTGGCGGAGTTAATTGCTTCTGCCGCATTGGACGTCATCGTAAAGTACCTGTTTCTTGGACCCATTTATGTATTCCAATTTTCTCCAAAAACGGGGGTACTCGAGGATCAAGATTATTAATCTCCACCATATGATGATTGTAATCATCAACAGTGTATGCTCTCGCAGCTGCATTAAAGGCATCCTTAACAGCGCTTGGTTCTTTCTTGAAATGTGTCCGCAAGTTGTTTGATATATGATAGGCACATAAACAGTGTGAAGCCTCTGGATATACCTGCATGATGAATAAAATATATTTAAATATTCAAGACAAAGATTACAACAATATGAGTTTGTTTATTTACTGTATATATTACTTTTATATACCCAATAGGTCAGACATATGAGTTTGTTTACTTACTGGATATATTACGTTTATATACACAAGAGGTCAAAAATATGTGTTTGCTTACTTAATGTATATATTACGTTTATATACCTAAGAGGTCAGACATAGGAGTTTGTTTACTTACCGTATATATTACGTTTATATACCCAAGAGGTCAGAAGTATACCTTTGCAACTGCATGTTTTATACTTTCATGTCCATCAGAGACAATGCACAAACCTTCCCGGACAGTGAGTGCTTCCCTTAACTTTGAAAAGAACCATGTGTATGAATCATTATTCTCAGAATCAACAATGCAGAATGCCAATGGAAGTATATGGGAGTTGGCATCTTGACAACATGCTGTAAGCAATATCCCTCCAATTGCCGAACTAAGGAAAGTCCCATCGACAACAATAATAGGTCTACAATGATTCCAACCTTTAATTGAAGCATTAAGACACATGAATACGTACATGAAGTGATGGTCCGATGTGGCAGACAATCTCACGACACTATGTGGGTTCGATTCACAAATTTTTTGCAAGTACTCGTTTATTTTACCATAAGACATTTCTGGATTACCTCTCACTTCTTCCATAGCTTTTTTCTTCGACCTCCATGCCTTCTGGTAAGACAACTCTATTTCATGTTGAACTTGCATGTCGTGTATTATGTCCCCTGGAGCATAAGTTGTCTTCAAATTTGTGAATCTCGATCGAATGAACCCACTTACAATGTTGGACGTAGCCTGTCGTTGACCACTTGTACGTATTTCAAATGGACATGAATGGTTGCGCCCCACATCCCGAATCTTGAAAATGTTTGAATTTCCTACCCTTGACGCTTTAACATACCATTTGCATTCCGTACATATGCACTTGACGTAGTACTGCTTCGGACAAGACTTCTCCACTTTGAACTGGTATTGGTTTGTTATTGCATGGTGGCTGAGCAACTTCATCACTTCATTTTTATCTCTAAAAGTTTGGCCGACCACAACATCCCGAATCATACTTCCATCGACACCACATTCAAGTGTTCTAGAGTTGTTTATCTCCTGTTTATCTTCCGTATACTTTACTATTTCCAGCATTGAATCCGCAGCATGTTCGGCAAATGCTCTATAAAATTCATCTTTTTCAGTTTCGCCCTGTTCCGGTTCAAGACATTTTAACCCTTCTATGTCACACACAGACGGATATGTAGACTTTGGCATTATGCCTCGATCGGGTAAGGATACGTTTATTAATTGTTTTAAAACCACACACAAGGGCAACTTTGTGTAATCACACTCCTTCGACTTCACTGAAATATAGAAATGTAGGCTGCTATCATCATCCACACTCATAGCTGGATATCCATCTTTCACTTGATACTTCATCTCCAGATCATTTGAATACGTGTTTACCTTCAGTTTATAAAAAACAATAGCTCGGAGTTGATTGTAGTTACATGATGAACTAATCAAAATACCTCCGACATCATAGTTCACGTATTCATTGTTGATCCATACTCCATTATGATGTAAAAATACATTTACATCATTCATGTTCCTGAAAAATAAACAGGGTCACAAAAAAAAAACGACATGAATAAACATGAATCTGAAAATACAAAAAACAAAATTCACGATCGATAGCTAAAATGGCGAAATTCCCGATCAATTATAAAAAAGAAAAACGAAATCTGAAATTACAAAAAAAAACGCCATCTAAAATAAAAAAAAAAAAAACCAACAAATTCGTTTTTGTACCTTCAGCTTTCAATATTCATCTCAAACGAAAGCTTAAATTCTTTTTTAAAAAAACAAAAAAACTATAATCTTGTAATCCATCACTAAACAACGAAGTTAACTATATGAATATGAATATACCTTCAGATGTCTTTCAATCCACGGCTATTTCACGATCAATTTTCACGAACAACCTCGTTTGGTTTTTTTTTTCACTCTGCTTTTTTTTGGAACGCACAAATCCGTTGATATGATAATCCCGTTTTTTAAATTTGAATTCGTGATTTCCTGAAGTATAGGTAATCACGATCGCCATCTCTTTCAATCGTTTACCGTTTTCTCTTCTCTGCGTGATTTTCTCGCCTTTCAGTATATGGAGAGAGAAAACCATTATATGGAGAGAGAACCAGATTTCACAATCTCGTATAAATGAAAAAGAAATCAATAATTATTCCTCTTTTGATTATGTTTCCTACGAATTGTATTTATGTAAATATATCAAGACTAGGGGTTATGTATGTATTTTTCCCTTAAATGATTAATGTATTAACCAAGAACGAAAAGAATCTGTAGTACAAAGACCAAACTGGAATTACACTTACTACCAGTTGGAACACCAACACAAGAAAACACAACAAAGGCCTAACAAAATTGTGGCAACAAACAACCAAGAAACAACACCATACAGCAAAATTAAAAGGAAACAATGAAGAGTTCAGCTCTTCTGCTCAAAACAAACAGCCACAGACAGCTCTTCTGCTCAGGCTTGTCTAGAATCCTCTTTTCATGCTGAATAAACAAGTTGTAAACAAATTTAACTGAAAACTTACCTTTAACACCATTATGCCAGACCAGCTAGGTAATTAGATAAACCGCGTTTTTTAAATTATTTAGTTAGGTAAAAGAACGCGTGTCAAAATTTAAAGGAGTACCTATTGCCATGTATGTACAAGACATGTACCTAATAGTAGAATGACCCAATAGACATAATCATTATTGTACATGAAATCTAAGCCTAGTGGTATTTGAATCTCTTCAGGTGCGTGTGAGTTGCAGTAGGTCCGTTTATACGGCCGTTTCTTTTTCTTTTTTTTTTTTTTTTACATATAACGGTTTAATAAATGAACAAAATGTCGAGTTGCCCTAAGCGCTTTTGTGGGCTTGAGTTCAGAATTCCACGTAAAAAATCCTTGTTCAGCTCGACTTAGTTGTAATCGTTTGCTGAACATGCTCCGGTTTGAGTCTTGCGACAAAACTAATTTCAGTAATCGTATATTCCGAAACCTATCTCTTTTGGATTCGTCTCGACCATCCATGGAGCTCTATAAATAGTCAAACAACAATCGAGTTAACAGGAGCTGCAAAATTTGGAGTATGGAAAAACCAGGTGGCACTTAAATGCCAAAACATACCTATTCATGACGAAATTGAATGTTCCTTGGGCTGCACGGCCAAGAAGAGTTTCTCTTGCGTCGACCGCAATACCTTGGGTCTGAATTTTTGGCATCAAAGTTCAAAACAAATTAAGGACAGTCAATTTTTCACGGTTTTGTGTATATGTTCTCAATGTTTTAGCTCAAATAATATTACCTCCTCTGGGAACCAAACTCCAGGCTGTGTGTTTCCTTCCAAAATGGCCAAAGCAAATGCAGCCGTTGAAATTCCAACCGAACTGAGAAA